CACAAGGGACAAGTGGTTATTATTGGACATTATAAACATAACAAACAGATTTAACCAAGACATTTAATGTACTAAAATGATTAAATGTGTATTTAAAATTGTTTGTATATAGAGCAATTGATAGAATGAAAATTGGATTTGGCATAATAGCAAAACTAAGAAACAAATGAAAGTTATAATACTTTGAGAAAAGAGATCAACAAAGATATCAGAAAACTGAAGAATATCCCCTGTTCCTAGGTAGGCAGAATCAGTATGATCAAAATAGTCATACTTCCAAAATTGTTACCCAGAATTAATATAATGCAAGTCAAAATGCCAATAGCATCCCTCACAAAACTAGAGAATGCATGATTTTTTTTAGCTAAGATAATTATACTACTGATTTCTATCAGTTTTTTTAAAGTAGCAGTTAATGCTTAAAATTTTTACTTTGACCAATTTTATATGCTTATATCTGTAATCTGAGGAACTACATTGAAGACAACATTGTGCAATATAACCATTGTTGAATACCTTTTTTGTTTAAATTGTGTATCATTTCTAATTTTTTAGCTATTCTTCTTCTGTTCTCTTTAAAATAAAAACCCCTAGATAATATAATTCTAATAGTCATATGGAATCAGAAGAGACACAGAATAACAAAAACAATTCTCAGTAATGAAGATGAGGAAGAAACCTCACAATCCCTAACTTCAAATTATACTACAAAGCTACAGTGATTAAAAAATATATATGGTTTAAGTTAAAAAAATTATGTGGATCAGTGGAATAATAAAAGATGCAGAAACAATTCCAAGCACACTCAGCTACTTTATCTTTGACAAGGGACCAAATCTTTTTGCAGGAGGAAAGATAGCCTCCTTAACAAGTGGTTTTCCAACCAATTATCCACATGCTGAGGATTGAACCTAGATCCATATCTCTCACCATGCACTAAACTAAAATCAAAATGAATCAAAGATTAAAGCAGAATAGAAATACTTAATCTCCTTAAAGATAAAATAGCTAAAACATTTAAAGACATAGGTATAGGCAAAAACTTTCTGGATAGAACCCTAGTTGCACAAGAAATAATACCAAAAAATTCAACAAATGGGATCATAGTAAATTAAAAGCTTCTGTGCTGGGGAGATAGTTTGGTGACATAAGTACCTGCCTGGCAAATGTGAGGACCCAGGTTTGATCCCAGTACTGCATGCCAGGCTAGCCCTACACTGTGCTGGCCACCAAAACTGGGCATGGTGGTACACGACTGGAATCCCAGTGCTGGGGAGGCTGAGACAGGAGGATCACTAGGAGGCCAAGCTGGGTAGCAAGACCCTGTACCAAACAAGTAAATAAATAAAATATTTTTAAAAATCAAATTAAAAGCTTCTGCACAGCAAAGGAAACCACCATCAGAGTGAAAAGCCAACCTATAGAATGGGAAAACAGTTTTACCATCTACTCCTCAAAGGACTGATATCTAGAATATAAAAAGAACTGAAGAAAATTAGACCCTTTCTCCAATTTAAAGACCCAATAAAAAATTGGCATCTGAGATGAATAGACAATTCTCAGGTGAGGAAGTATAAACAACCAACAAATACATAAAAAAAAAGTTCAGCATCACCAGCCATTCAAGTAATACAAATTAAAACAACACTGAGATTCCCTAAAACTCCAGAAAAAATGGCTGTCATCAAGAAATCAACCAGGTTAGATTTCAGGACTTATGTGTAAACATAAGAATTATATAATTCTTATTTTTTGCAGAACCGGGAATTGAACTCAGGCCCTTGCCTTATTTTACTGAGCCATCTCCCAACCCAACAATTATGTAATTCTTTTTGCCTATTTTTAAAATATATTTTAATTTTTAAAATGTTTTTTTCATCGTATTCTGTAGGGACTTAAAATTCAACATATCAATACTTGATGAAAAATACCTGTTCCATGTTATGCCTAAAATGTTTGATATTCAGACAGATAGTGAGGTTAATCTTAACAGCCTAGGTTGTATGGTAATGACAATAAGCTTCTCTTCTGGAAGGTTAACAACCTAAGTTTGCAGACCGAAATTAGAGAAAAAGGAGGGCCACAAGGAAAGCCAACATTTTGGCCTTAGCCTTCCAAGGTCAATTAAGACTCAGGACATACGAGAACTTGTACTGTAACGTCATGTAACTTAGTAGTGTCCCAAATTTTCTAATCAACGAGATTATGGGGCCAAAGAGGAAAGTGATTGATAATGTAGAGTGTGCCTAAGGATAGTCATCTGGAGAGAAAACATTTTCTCAGGCTTTCACAGAGAGCACATTGGTCAAGCAATGGCTGCGACTCATCCACATGGCTGACACTGACAAAGGATCTACAATCTGAGGTACAGGATCTCAGGATAAATCCTGAGGGGGTATCACTGACCTTATCAGACCTAAAAGATCCAACTCTTGTTGCATAGGTCCTGCTTTATCTTGGTCTTAACCATCCAGCAGAAAAGTATAAAAACGAAGTATAAGAAGTAAAACCATGGTGTTATGTTGAGCTGTAGGGGACTCAGGTCAACAATTTCTGATACTGCCAGTCAAGCAGAAGACCCAATACTATTATGGACTGCTGGACTCTTTTAGAATATTTTGCTGAGTTAAAGGTGTGCCTATGATATTGAAATGATGGAACTAAACAAAAAAGGGGATACAGATGAATGTGCACTTTGTATCTGTGTATTCAAAATGGTTAGGATAGATACATAGTTACATTCTCTTAATGAATAGAGGGATTTGTTCTAATAGTGTTTGTAAATAAGATATCATGCATGCATCTTGTACAGCAAATAACCACTAGGAAGAGAGTATGCAATGTGTTAATTATTAAAACTGCCCTACCAATTTGATTTGAAACTGTCTCATTGCTATTTGTTTCTCAATAAAATTATGGAGAAATAATAATAATAAAAAAGGAAATCAACCAATAACAAATGTTAGTGGGGGCTGTGGAGAGAAGGGAAAGGATCTCTTCTTCATTGTTGTTTTTTGTTTCTGTTTTTTGTTTTTTTTTTCTTTTTTGCACTACTGGAGATTGAACTCGGGACCCTGTGCTTCCCAGGCAGGCACTTACTCTACTGAACTATCTCTTGGTCCCCTCTTCTTCATTGTTGGTGGGAGTATCAACTGATACAACTACTATGGAAATCAATATGAATATTCCTCAGAAAACTAAAACTAGAAATTCCATTTTTTCCAGCTATTTGTCATCTAGATATCTTCCAAAAGAATTAAAGACATTGTGTCACAGTGATGTATGCATACCTGTGTTTCATAGCATAATTCATAATAGCTGAATTTTGGAGGCACCCTATGTGTTCATCATCCAATGAATGAGTAAAAATGTGGTATTTATGCACAATGAAATACTACTCTGCCATAAGGGAGAATAATTTAAGTCATTTGTAGGAAAATAGACAAATGTTGAGACCATAATATGAAGTGAATCAGACACATAAGCTTGATTTCTCTGATATTGAAAAATCAATACTATATGTAAATGAAGTACAATTTTTTATGTATTTTATATTGTGTTTCATGACAATTAATAGTAAAAAAGGAGAAAAAAGTATATTCGAATCTAGCATGGACAATGTCTCTAAAAGTGTACTTTGATTTAGTACAATTGTCTTATGTGTTTGGGAGTTTATTAGTCTCGTTGTTACACTGTATGCTTAATAACTAACTTTATAAGGGCTTTCAGGGTGAATAAATGAATCTGGTGCTGGCAAAAAGGGAAAGAGGAGAGGAAAGAGAAAAAAATAATGGCAACATGTTACGTATGTGTACCAGGTTCCCACAATGAATGTAACTATTACGTATTGCAAATAAATTAATAATAATTTTTTTCAGGTACTAAGAAAAATGCTTAAAGACAACAAAGTAGAATAACAAATAGAAAATGTAATCTTTGAAGTTAAGAAACTCATTTAATTTATTGTAATAAAAGAGACCCTAAAGAACTAAACCAAAATACCATTTCTTGTCTATTATTTAAAAAAGAAAAAAGAAAGCCAAAAGATTAACAATATGCTCTGTTTACAAAGTTGTGGATAATTAGTATCTTTAAGATTATTGGCAGAAAATGCAAAATGATACATATGCTATAAGTCACTAAATTTCCAGGCTGGACTCAAATTTGCAACCTTCCTGCAAATGGGACTGATCTTCACCCTCAAAATCATTGGAAGTTAGATTGCAGCCACACCCTGTCAGTCAGTATGTACATCTCCTCTTCAATAACTTAAATTGCTTTTGTATCTTAGAAAGGTAGTTTAATTTTATAGAGTCCTCTTTTAGGCTTCATGAGGTTCCCTAGAATGGGACACTTTAAAAATCCCTTCAAATAACATGTTCTCTGATAATAGTAGGCAAGACCTTTTGGAACACTATGGAAACCTAAGTCCCACATCTTTCAAGGCAGTTAAGCATTTTCTCTGACTCCCGAGGCAGCCTGAGTTTAGATTCTCAGCATGTTAGGCGACACAGCAACTGTCTTTGTGCCCAGAGCAGTGTGGCCCCACGTTGTGCAGGACTTGATGGAGAGCTCTTGCCCCTTGGCACACTGTGGGTGGGGCCTCATTAGTCTGACTCCCTCCCTTAAGGTCCCCTTAGAAGTCACCTTCCTACCTCATAATACACTGCAACTCTGCTTGAACTTGATACATTTCCATTTAAATTGCCTAGCTCCTGTCCTTGTCCTTGTCCTTGTCCTTGTCCTTGCTGCCACCCTGGAAGTGGTGACAACAGCAAACACAGTCAATATGCTGTCTGTCATGGGACAGAGACAGAAACTGTTGTGAATCTAGTGCAAATTAGCTTGAAAATTAAACTATTTCACTAGTTTAAATAATTCAAACGTGCTTATTTTAGCCTATTCCAGTTCGACTACTTTTTGAAAGAACTTCATTTTGGACTACAAAGCCTCTGAATTTTATTTTGCTCCTTGTAATTTTTGTTTTCTTTCTCTTGCAGGGTATATGAGAAATACTGATTTCCATCTGACCTTCATCAGTTGACCTTGAAAAAGCTCATGGGATCCTTTTCCTTAATGCAATTCAGTTTAACCTCACTGTTTATTTTTTATTGTTCACCTTAACTTCAACTGCCTATCCACTCAACTGAGTAGTTAGGAATGTCCATTTCTCCTGGTCATCCATTATATGCATGTTTTCAGGTGCTGATTACTAAACTCATTTAGTCCCTACTGCCTGCAAAATGTTACATTATTTTTATAACAATGGCTTTGCCTCTTAAAATCATTAGTACAATGTTAGACAGAAAAGAGGGAGACCTTTGATACTCTCAGGGTAGCGAGAATACTGGATGCCAAGGGCTTCTTTCTGTAAGTGGCTATTTCTAAGCTGATTTTAAGATCAGGCTTGGGGAAGCTTTGGGATCTTTTTAGATTTTTATCACTACTTTCTTAATCTAGGCAACAAACATGACCAGAAGAAAAATATCATATACTCTATTAAGCTTATATAAAAAGCAGTTAAATAAATTTTGAACTGTTTTTATATAAATAGGCTGTTTTTACTTTTGGTGAAAAACTCTTAGGCTTTTCTCTCTTAAGGAGCCTCATTTTAATATCTCTTTTCACAGTCCATATAGATCAAATAAAGTAAATAATCACTGTTGAATCTTGGGCCTTACTTTCATCTTTATATTAATGTGGTTCCCCTGATTTTCAGGCTGGAACAAATTATTTCTATAAAAATCAACTAGACACAAATATAGACATTGTATGTGGTTTGTATGCGTGTGAAAAACTTTCCTTTGTTTGATGCCAGTTATTTTCCACTACCAATTCAATAGGCTTGCTTTCCTGTTCAATTTCTGTGAACTTGAACTGGTCCACAGACCTAGAGTATGCATACCAATTGCCCGTGCCACATCATCGTAATCCAGTTCCTGGACCCCAATTTTACCCTGTAATATAAGGAAAGGATTACTGTACATTTAATTGTAGAATAAAATTGAGGAATAAATCATGTATTTTACAGCTGGGCAGCCAACAATTCACAGCATTAAGAGATCTTCTGTGTCACTAATTGCTGTGTTGAAATTAACTTTTCAAATCTCTCTATTCAAGGGAAATTGGGATTTGAAACTCTTGGGCCAAGACTCATGACTGGGGCAAGTGTGCCCTGCAGAAAGGGCTGCGCTGGGTGGGGTGAGAGGGTGGCTGAGAACAGATGGTGTCCAAGCCTTTTCTCTGGAATTATAGATGCACAGGCTCTGCGTTTCCCTGTACTCTGCCAGCTGAAGCTGTGTTAGTGCTGTTGACACTAATATAAAATGTTTGGTCCATTTGAAATCTTTGCTGTTGCCTTATATGGGGAAAACCAAATCCCTCAGCCTGTGTTGGAAACGCAGCCAAGCTGACTCTAGATGTGTGGCTGTGGCAGGCGTTTTACTGCTGTGGAAAGCAGCCATTTCAGCCCTGCACCTGCCAGCCTGGCTACCTTGGGGCGTGCTTCAATCTTTGTGTCTGGGGTTGCTATTCCTCACTTGCTGCATTTTCCAGGGTGCAGCCCAGAGGAGGAAACAGGGATGCTTGCATTCTTTGAAGGCTCTCAGAAGTTTTATAAACAATACATTTATTTTTCATAGTTTTAGGGACTGGAAGTCCAAAGTCAAGATGTGTGCAAGATTTGGTGTCTGGTGAGCCCACTCGCAGGTGGATGCTATCCTGCTGTGTCATCACATGGTAGAAGGAGCAAAGGGTATTTCTTGGGCCTCTTACTATTATTATTTTTTTGCTTGGATTTTTTTTTTTTTTTTTGAGATGGTCTCATGTAGTGCAGGCTGGTCTTGAACTCATTATGGAGCCCAGACTGACCTCAAACTCAGAGTGATCCTCCTGCTTCAGCCGCCCAAGCACTAGAATTACAGGCATGTGGCCACCACTCCCCTCGTGGGCCTTTTGTATGAGGGCACTAATCCTATTCAGAAGATTTCCACACCTGTGACCTCATCACCTCCCAGTGGCCTCATGATACTTTCGCCTTAGGGTGTGGATTTCAACATACAAATTTTGGAGGGCTGGGGAGATAGCTCCATAGAGTAAGTGCTTGCCTGGCAAGCAAAAGGGCCTGAGTCCAATCCCTGGTACACACACACACACACACACACACACACACACCAAAAACAAAACAAAACAAAACAAAAAACCCAACGAATTTTGGGGAACATAAATATTCAGAACACAGCACAGACATTTTGGGAGATCTAGTCAAATTACCTTGTCAAAAGGTAGTACCAGTATTTATTACCACTAGAATCGACAGTACCTTTGTTCCTATACCCTAAAGAATACTGTTGGTGATTTTAAAAATTTTGAAAGAATGCTGGGTTAAACTTACTGGAGAAGTTAGCCCTTTTTATTCATCATTGGGTCATTGCTTATCTTTCTCTTTTGAAGGGAGCAGGGAGGAGAGGAATGGTGTATATAGCTGACTTATAAAAGACCTCTCTGGGCTAAGGTTTTATGTTGCCAGTATTCTAACTTTATGTATCTTTTAATTTAATGTTACTTAATTAATAACAAAGTTTGAAATATCTGCATATTTGGATTCATCAAGGTTTTTTTCCTTGTGGTTTCTTATTTGTATTATGTTGATAGATTTTAAAATGTGCAGTAACCTGCCTAGTGAAACCTGCCTCTTCTAACAAAGCTAAGGATTTCTTCCTACTGTGGGGCCTACTTATAAGAAACAAAGAAAAGGAGTTTTCATTCCTTTTATAGTGTAGGCCTGAGCAGTCACATTTTTATTCATGTTTTACACTAGAAAAATAGTTCCTGTAGTCCCTATATATTCTGTTTAGCTTAAGAGAAAACATTGGATTCTTTCTTTAGATTGCTTTTATTAAACATTATAAGAACCCTACATGTTTATGTTTACTTTGGGGATTAGCTTATCATTCAAAGTATCTTTAGGAATTACATCATAATTATAATAAATGTAGACAAACTTACTCATAAAATAAAACACGACATTTATAAATAAATATCTTGTGAAAACTTTGGCTAATAATTTATAACTGATCTTTAGAAAACATAACAATAGAAACAGTCCCTGTATGCTTAATTTTTGACTTCAAGGCATTAAACCAATGGTTTTTGATTAGCTGAACCAGTTTTTTCTAGGAAGGGGTGTGTTTGGAAGTGTGCTGCTGGAGGACGTAACAGGAATTGTATTAAAACTGATAAAGGGGGGAAGAAAATAAAATACTATAGATTATTTTCTAAACTGGATGTTTATAGTACTTGCCTGTGTGCTCATGTGCAGGAACACTGGAGTGATATATGACACATATAAGGATGAAAAATATGCCTTTCAAGTAACCATAAGGGCTGCAGAGAATCAACATAAGCACTTCTTTAAGGGACAGAACCCCTTTTGAAGTCCTTTGTTCAAATACTCCATTGTTTTATAGTGGAACTTAAAAGAGATCATTGAGAGATAATTTTTATTTTGCTGCTTACAGAATTATATGCTTCAAAGTGAAGGATTTTTTTTTTTTTAAATAAGGCATTTTAAGGCCAATTGAGAGACTTTGATTGCATTTATTGCCATGTTATTGTGCCACCTGCTGGAACGGAGCACTCAGGGAGCCCTGCACCACAACAGGCACATGCTCTGGTCAGCTCATTTATTGCAGCCCTTGGCTGTGTGGCTCAGCTGCAGGGCATGTGTTGGGGTCCCCTTCCCTGTGTGTCCCCAAAGAACCCACCCACAGCTGAGCTGTGGGATTTTCACTCAGTTGTCAGAGGTGACATTTTATTCCCTACAACACATTCTGTAAGAATCAAAGCCAGATTATGAGCTGGTTAAATGTTTTATTTTTATATTTTAGATACTATGTTATGTTAAAAGAAGCGTAGGTTGTGCTTTAGTAGAGATAGGAGTGGAATATTTGAAATTGGACATTATGAACTAAAAATCAGAAATCAACATTTAAATAATTATGTTCTAGTTGGTTTTGATTATGGCACTACAGAGACAAAGATTAGTGGGGTGGGTCCTAGCCTCACAAAGTAGAGCAGGTGGAATAGGTGACATTATGTGACCACAACAGACAATGCCTGTATCTCCCTGGATCACTAATAATTCATTTATTATACTTGAAGCATAGCCAAAGTCTCTGCTCACCTTCATCTCCCAGGACCTAGGCATTCCCTTTACAGCAAGAGGAAACGGGGCCAGCACGCCACACGGGGGGCAATTAAAGGCTTTCTCTAGGAAATGAGACATGCTGTTTCTGTCCACATTTTATTGGCCAGAAGGTATCACATGGTCATCCCCAACTTTAGAGAGAGTTAAAAATAAATTCTGTAATCTCTCAGAGGAAGAGATCTAGAACCTGTGGAAATAGCACTAATGACAGTCCCAAGGGATCCACTGTACATCTGTAGAAGCAAGATACCTACATGAAATATGCACAAGATACACTAAGTGCAAAACAGTAAGAAAGACTTAGTTCAGTTCAAAATCTAGTAAGGGACCAGTACATACCAGGCACTGTGCTTGGCATGGAGATCACAGATACTACATGTGCATAATAGCCATCAAGAAACTGATTTGTGGGCGGGGGTGACCCAAGCCTATACTAGGGGACTAAGGCAAGAGGCTTCCAAGTTTGAGCCCGGCATGAGCAATTCAGCAACTTAGTGAGACGATGTCTCAAAATTTTAAAATATTAGAAAAAGACTGAAGATGTAGCTCAGCATGAAGACCCCAAATTCAATCCTGATTATTGGAAAATGATTGATTTATTAGTTACACACATAGGCTCTCTCTCTCTCTCTCTCTCTCTCTCTCTTTCTCTCTCTCTCTCTCACACACACACACACACACAACCTAGGCAAAAGTACAAGAAAGAACTATGTAGAATAAAAGTGACAAAGACCATAAAAAGATTTGTATGTCTTATCAAGTAGATTGGGCTCTTAAAAGTTTATCAGGAAGAAATAGGCTTGGCTAGATTTTTGTTTTAAATAAGTTGTCAGTGATCCCTAGAAGAAAAGATAAGCTTCAGGGAGGCCAGCCCAGAGGCAGAGGAGCCAAACAGTGTAAGCCGAGAGAGT